GTGTTTGCCGGTGTGGTTGCGAGTGTGTTTCAGAGATAACACAGACAGATAGATAGCTTCACACCTCTGGGCAATTTAGACTCACCAGTGAACCCCTCTTGTGTGTATTTGGATTGGATACTCCATCTGGATAAAACAAAAAACACGCACACACACAAAACCCCACAAAAAAGCATCCATATAACTTTCTTCGGATAAATCACGTTCAAGGTAAGCCTCGTCTACTTGAACTTAAAGCTAAGAAAAATGCTTCAAATACTTGAGATGCAAACATGAGGAAAGGGTGAGGTGAGGCGCTAGAGAGAAAGGAAGAGCCAAAGCGTGTGCGTGCGTGTGTGCGTGTGGCAGCAAGCGAGGGGAGGGAGAGAGAGAGAGGTGGTGCAGTTGAGCGAAGTGAGCCTGGAGTGAGTGGGTCGACAGAGCCGAGGTGACAGTGGAGAATGGAGAGGAGCCCGTCCACCCGGCGAGCTTTGACCGCGGCGAGCAAAGGAGAACCCACTCGATCCTTTCCTTTTGGAGCAACTGCGCAAAAAGAAACCGGGAGGAATTAACTAGTGGGGGACGGGGGAGGGGTGGGGGGGCAAAGGAAAGGAATGGCTGATCCTCTGCGGAGGACTTTACTAGCGAAACTCCGGGGGAAGAAATCCAGGAAAGGAGCGACGGTCGGCGGTGGATACGGCTCTTCTGCTGCTGCCGCTGCGGTGAATGGGGGCCGAGAAGGTAAAGAAAAAGTTTTGCAAACGCAGCGAGACTCCGATGAGGCTCGCTCCATAGTCTTGTTCGCAGATCTGGATTGCATGCCAGAGAGAATGAGTACGTACGAGAATTATATTGACGGCGCTGTGGTGCAGACAAACGGGGATATAGCAGTAGCGCAGAGTCGCGCAGCGCAGTTGGCCGGCTCACGTCCCCGAGAGCGAAGCCGCGGGGGCAGGGTTCGGGTTAATGAGGAGCTCCTGGGGGTCCCACTTCAAAGAGACTTGCCGTTTGGGGGGGATGCTTTTTGGGAGGGTGATAGGAGAAAACCGGGGCACAGGTCCGCTGACAGAGTCACCGCGGGTGTTCCACTCCCTGAACCGCATGTGCAGAGAAAACACTGCATTTCGGTCGGAGATTCAATCGGGTTTGGGGACAGTTCAAATCCAGTTTTAAGCAGAACGCAGGTACAGGCGCATGTAGGGGATGGGAGACCATCAGAGGACCAGTTTAAAGGAGCTGATGGTGAGGTTAGAGAGCCCAAAGACAGAGAGTGCTCCCGGCACATGGTAGGGACTGTTTTGGCCGTGCGTGAAAGCAATGCCAACTGGAGTTTTGACAGCAGACCGACTTTGGAGACAAACGCACGAAATTACGCACGCGTGTGCCCAAACCGCATGTTAAAGAACACCGAAGAAAACTCTGTAATCAGAAATATTGAGAGCTACGATCCTGACTATGCCGGGGACGTTAAAGGTGGTCTACTGAGTCCCACTTTTTTCCCCACTGAGTTAGAAATATGCGACGTGAACATGGCATCCCTGTGCGCCACAGAGCCCTCACTCACATACCCTTTAGACAGCGAAGATGACGATTACTACGATAATGAAATTCTGCCCTTCTACGAAACAATCAGACCAATGACTGACGGTGAGAGAGCAGAGACTGTAGAGTTCACCCAGCCTGGTCAGGATAAAGGACAGGCTGGTGATAGTAACAGTGCCCAGGAAACAGACAGGCTTAGGAACCAGCTGAAAGAGGCTTATTACCTTCTTATCAATGCTATGAATGATATCAACATGGATGTCCAGCAGATCGGTGGTGTAACTGAGCAGCAGGCTACCTCATCGTGTAGCAGCCCGTCCAGGGACAGCCTGTGCTCCAGGTTGTCTTTGAAAAACAGGGACAGTGACTCCTGGTCGTCAGGAGAGGACCAAAGCCCTCAGCAGGTGTCAGACACCGACTCACTGCTGCTTTGTCTCACTGGGATTGTAGAGGTAGGACTTAAAGGCAGGCTGAAGAGTAAGAGCATGGCAAACTTGTCTTTCACCAAAAAACCTACTTTGTCACGCTCTACAAGCGATGGAGAGATTAGGTACCAGGACGCCTTCTCAGAGAGTGTTCAGGCTTGTGGAACGCAAAGTGCTGAAATCTGTGATGATCAAGAAGCTGAACCAGGTGAAGGAGGCACAGGAGCGGGTGAGCTGTCTGAATCTCGGGTTTTCTGCAGTGCCGTCAGCAATGAGGAGCTGCTGCAAGATGATGGCGTTGAAGAAGAACGGGACGGGAAGCTGAATGAGAGCAGTGGCTCCATCAACAGCATCACAAGTTCCTCAGACAGCAACACCGAGACGGCAACACATCAGGGTCACGACAACAAGCAGGAGCTGACTGAACTCCAGACACAGGTGGCCAACTCGGCCAACAAAGGTCATGGTGTCACTGTCAACAAGATGCAAGAGTGGATGCACAAAGGCCGCATGCTGTCTTCTGAAATGAAGCAGCGCATTGAAGGCTCATCTTTGCCCCGCGGTGGAGGCCAGAGCCAGGACCGGTCCTGTCCTCAGGTTAACCCAGGAGGCTGTAAACCGGGGACCCAGACATCCAGCCGAGCGGGTAAATCTGTCAAGGCCAAGTCACAACAGCAGCAGCAGCAGCCAGGTAGGACGGCTACACGGCATGGCCTCAACTCCCGTGGATCCTCTAAAACAGACAACTCTCACCTTCCTTCCTCCCTTCTGATAATTATCATCCTCCTCCACTCATAGTATACTCCTTCTGGTGGCGGTCCATCCCGCACTCCTCCTCTTCTGGATGCAAAGCAAAGGGACGAGACACCTCAGACCTCTTGCTTTCTTTTTTATTTTTTAAGACTCTAATCGGTGGCGGGCTTCTATCCTTCACACTAATTTAGGTGCATTTTAACACCAGATTAATAGCACATCAGGCCGTAGGTCGGATTACTCACAGCGTAGTTCAGTAACAACTAACTCACTCCTGGTAGAGCATTGTTAGTGGTGTTGGTGGTGGGATTTGTGCGTGTGTGTGTGTGTGTGTGTCTATTGACTGGAATGACATTTGATTATCTGATTATGAACATATCAAATGATTTTCTGATTGTGCTTAGATGACAGAGAAAACATCTGTATCATAAAACAACCGTTACCGAGTGACACGTGTTGTCATCATCCCTCATGCAATCAAATGCCAGATTAATCAGAAAGTGTCTGTGTGGTAAGCTTTTATTGGCATTTAGCAGCACAGGATGTGCTCTATGGATCAAAAACATGCCCATGCCTTTTAATTTCTCCTCTATTTTTTGCCTCCTGTGGTAGTTTCCTATGTTGCGGCGCATGTGTTCCAGCATGCCTGCCTGTGAAATGTGCGTGTGTGTGTCTCTGACAGTGTTTACCATAGTAAGACGATGATGTGCCATGTGTGCAGGGTGGTGTTGACTGTCAGTGTGCCGGACTGCTAGAAATAGTGTGTGATCCGTGAGGCCGCTCCTCTGTCGGGTTAGCATAGCTCCAACTTTACAGCTCTTTCCTATCTGGTCTTTTAGTTAAAAAATAAAGTCAGAGCTCTTGTAGATGTTAGTTTCCATGCACCCGTTCACCCAAATCTCATATTTTCCCCATTTTGTTCAGCTTTCCCAACTGAACTTTTCCACAGCTGTGGCCAGAGGAATCCAAAAGCAGGAGAGAAGCCACTGCAGTTATTTTCTGTGGTAGTGTTGTGTGTGTGTGTGTGTGTGTGTGTGTTTGTTTTAGAGTAAGGGGGGCTGGGCTGTCATCTTGCCTTCCTCCCCAGTCATTTGCTTTGGACAGCTCCATGGTAACTTGCATTTTAAAGAGACCTTGGATTGAATATTTAGAATGCCATTCCTGTTGTTTAACATGTTTGCATTGTGTCACTTAATTCGCCACCATGAATGAACAAAATGAAGAGTGATTAAATATTTATTAAGGTCAGCCGTGAGCTTATCTTGCCCTTGTGGGCCTCCACACCATACAAAGACCCATTTAAAAAAACAAAAGAAAGAAAGAAAGAGATGCCAAAGCTGCAAAGTTCCTGTTAAATGCTTTTTTTGGCCTAAAGCTCTTAATTGAATTCATTGGTAATCCTTGGTTCGTGGAATTATTTATGTATTTCTGACTTTCTAAAAATAGACCAGTTCCTCCCCTGTGAGTATTATTTGGAAATTAAACCTCAGCCTAAAATCGTAGCACAAAAATACTGTCTGAATTACACTATAGCTAATTAATTTTTGTCCTGACTTGTCCTTTGATTACTCTTGTAAAAGAAAAGTGTCCATTATTGTGTGTCACTCCTTATGTGTGGGTGTGCGATATTGTGCACACAAGCATGCATTTGCACATCTATGCTGTGAGTGTGCATGTTTGTATTTGCAGTGTGAGGATTTATAGTTTCGTTGTGTTTAGTTGCAGTGGAGCAGCAGGTGTGCCGGCAGGCATTCAGTATCCAGGTGTCATGTTTTGGCCAGAACTGAGCTCAGGAGTGGTGTGTCAGTCAAAGCTGATATTGAGACTGAGCCATAGATAACACAAATAGAGAAGATTCACTCCTGGGAGGCAGACTGTTTATTTTTTTTAACTTTTTTTTAAGCCCTCTGTTCATTTGAGTCAAGTGTTTCTAAGTCCCCAGTCACACGTGTGTGGAAACCAGTCCCCAACTATCTGGCAACCACTTGTTGCAAGGGAAAAATGTGAATTTCCTGACTGGTTTTGAAGGTTGATGGCAGTTTACTTTGAAGGTGACTGTTCTGTTTCCAGTTTGTGTTGTATTTTTTTCAACTTTTACTGTAGTTCATAAAGTAAACTGCAAGTGTTGTCTCCCACATAAACTATGGGTGACCATGGCAATATGCTAGCAACCAAAGCAATCATGGTGCAGCAGCCTCTTATCCACCAATTTTTCCTGGATGCAGCCAGTAACCTCCAACACTCACCAACTTGTCATATTTTTCCCAAGCAGAAAAATATAACAAGTTCAAATATGAAGCTGCAATCAGCAGGTAGTTTGCTTTGCTTAGCTTAATGCATTTAGTGAAAACAGCTAGTCTGACTCTCATGTACAAAATCTGCCTACAGGCACCTGTAAATCCCAGTAATCAATGTTATGTAAGGTCTATAAGAGTAGGCTATGAAATATGCTAAGCGATATCTTGTTTTTCATCAGGTTTTCTGATGTGATAATTTAATAAATGCACAGTGTACAGAGTAAACAAATGAACAGATGTAATGTTTTAATCAGTGAGCTTAAGTGATGCTGGTAAGTGAACTGTGGATGGGCAGATTCATGCTAGCTGTTTTCCCTTTGTTCCTGTCCTAAGCTATGCTAACTGCAATGTCATTACCTTTAGCATTAACATGAGACTGTTCACAATAACATTTGAGACCAACATTTCCTTAACTCCAGAACTGTTCTTTAAAAGAATAACGTGTCAAGCATCACATTTAATATGCTGTGAATTAGGTATACTGTTTAGCATTGCTTAACCCGAATTCCTAACTCCAAAGCTTAGATGGGAGTGCAGGTGTAATATAATATTACTTGACTGCTGTCAAGTCATGTCAGAACGATGCGGCGTTTGGTTTCTGCATTATGCCAGAAACCTTGTTACAGAGCTGCTGGGTTTTTGGTTTTTCACAGTGATTTGTCTTGTCTGGTGTCTGTACGTGGACAGATTTATGGAAGATGGTAGCTCTAAAGACAGATCAGGTGATGAAGGAGAAACTTGAGGCATCTGGGTTCATTCCTGGATGATTTTATGAGTTGTGTGAGTCAGATGATGGTATCTGCTGCAGAGGTGGGGCAAACATTAAGATGAGGATGATCACAGCTAAACAATACTAACTACAGTGAAAATTAAAACTAATGACATTTGAAATAAATGCCATTGATCATACTGTTTCAATGCAATGGAAATCCTTGGTCCCTGGCATTCATGGGGAGGATTTTGAAATGTTATGTTAACCTGTACGTTGTTGGGCTACGTTAAAGTCTTTCTACCAGGCACGGTCAGTCCAACTGCAGGTTATCAGTGACATAACAATCTGTTGATTGCCTGTGAAGCACAACAGCAGTCAAACTGAGGTTCATTCAAGGCCAGATAACAGATGATACCATAATATTGACAGAGAATGACTACAGATCTCTGGTAAATGTTGTGGGTTGTTAACTTCTAGCCAGGTTTTCTTTGGGCTAGTAGAAACCTGAAATTAAGACTGAAAATCAATTTTTCTAGAGTGAGCTTGCCAAGAGAAGGGCAGACATTTAACGTGACACGATGTGTCTGAAGTATTTAGGTTGAAGAATGTTAAAGGCTTTTATGTAGAGCACCAACTGATATAGAAGTTTTAACCTGATTCATGATATTTGATGATATTTTCCGTGGTATTTTAAAAATAGGATGTACCAATATGTCAGCTGAGATTTTTTTTCAGAAACACAAACAACGAACAGATTTCCCTAACATCTGTCATGTGTTGTTTTTAATGGTTTACAATCTGCCTGCCTCTGCTTATATCAGAGAACAAGCAACCTCAACAGTCATAACAACGGTGTTTCTGGTGTCATTTCATTACTTTTTAAATATCTATTTATTGGTTGTTATAAATGGTAATAACAAGAGATATCGGCTTGCCAATAAATCAGGCTCTACTTTTATGTAGGGGCCTTTGAAAATGTTCTTCTGTACAAGGGCTTCCTGCTCCTGAAGGTTTGAGAAACCCCAGTTTAGGTGACAGAATGGGGGACCTACACAAAGAGGCAGGTGGTTTTAATGTTGTGGCTGATTGGTGTAGATTGTAATAATTAGGTGGCAGCTTAAGGGCTGAAGAGCTTTCCTGAAAGGCCTTTCGCTTACTTTTAGGGACTTGTCTTAGGATTGCAAGTGTTTCAAGCTTAATTGGGTAATTATCTTACAGCGTCCTTCCTCGGGGGCATTTGATCAGTTTTTCTTTTAAACAGAAGCAATAAGACAGGAAAACAAGCACTACATAGAAAAGATTTTGGATTTCAAGCCAGCATACCGAAGTGGAAGTGGCATTAGGAACAGGCTACGATGCCAGGACACCTCAGCAGGATACAAGTGTTGACATGTGATGCAACCCTGGATGATCTCAGCGCTGCCTGCCTGTAAAAAGAAAAATCTACACCAAGAATCATCATTAGCATATGAATGAAGGTCATCAGTAATCTATGGCACACCGCAAAAGATTCCCTCTGAAGGAGGCTCCGAAACTGTATTCACAACAAAGTTTTGTCTGTATGGAGGCGAGAACTAGCTGGTGTGTTTTGCACATATCAAAAGAGGAGCCTCTATAAAGAAGGAATTTAGGGAATAAAAGAACAGCCTATGGGAAAGTGGATCAAGCGCTTTGTCTTAGAGAAATGATTCAGCCACTCAGAAGATTTAGGCATGAATATAATTGGGTCTACTGTCAGGCTCATATGGCACAGGTCCACAGCAGCACATCAAGTAAATAAGATTTTTCTTTTTTTCTTAGGAAGGTGCATTCCTTGTAGCACCTCAGACAAACACGACACTCCTTTCAGTGCATGCACCACCTCTCCTTTTCTCTTAATTTCCACCCACAGACATGCACCCGTGTACCATCTGTCACTTTCAGGTCAGAGGTGTGATTTTTTTTTTTTGCCTTACAATGAATACATTATCTACACACAATGATGGCAGAGGCAGACAGGCTGTGTTAGCTCTGGTATGGAAATATTTTGCAACTGGGTGCTACTAGAGGAAAAGAGCTGTTTTTCTGGAAGGCTGTCTTGCTTTATGTGGCAATGTAAGTGGGAATGAGTGAAAGGGGCTTATTCACTAATGCTAATTTTCACAAGAAAAAAAAAAACTTTCCCTACCTTACTTTGAATAAACAGACTTTAAACTAAGAATTATTTTCCAGGTCTGTTCATTTGTACTCTGTAACAGAAGGCTGTAAAATGTTGGTGAAAGATGAAGCTGCTGTTTTGTTGTTTCATAATGCGTTATGTAGTAGTATGATGGTTATTTCAGCTGCTTCTAGGACGACTCAAAAAGCAGTTGGTAAGCCTGGCCAAGACTCCTCTAGCGATTAATAACCAGTGGTCACCTTCAGGGTGGTTGTCATAAGGTTTGGTAACATTCTTGCTTCAGGAGGAGAATAACAGCTAACGATGATAGTGTTTTTTTCATAGTTCAGTACTGAGATAAAGGACATTAAGCTCAAGACCCAGTCATCATGAGGAATGGCTTATTTATGGATGCAGTTAACAGTAATAGCCCATTTATCGAGCATGAACATTAAAACAAAAGTAATGGCAAACAAACAGCTAAAAATATAAAGCTTATTTTCTATATAGCAGTAGGTACAAAGTATAGAAACAGCTTAATGCTGCTAACCTTCTCTGTAATTTTGCAGGCAAATTCTGCAGACAAATCTGAGGATATTGTGGTAGAAATGCTAATTCCTAAAATTAGATGCATCCTTGCATCTCTTGTTCCATCAGAAAAACAAAACGCCCAACGTTTTCTGTTCATTTTGATATGTTTTTGACTCATTTGGCACCCTAAGTGTAATCGTGGTATGAAGATTGTCATTCAAGGAAGGCAGACCCACAAGTTCCTTTGTGTGTTTAATATCAAGACTGAATGTTCTGCAGTTCAAATACTGAAATGCTGGTGTAAAAAAGTTGCGAGGAAAAGGCAGGCAAGAGTGACAAGAGTGAAAATGGCTTAAGTCTCACTTATTAAGTCAACGCAGCAGGCTGCTGTTTGCCAGGGCGAGGTGTTACTCATGTGAAGGAGTGTGACAGTGCGAGGAGACAGCAGCCAGGCTGTAAATCTGGAGCTGTGGTCTGGAATGCTGTTCATGTCAGAACTCGCTTCCTCTTCCAGTTATGAAAGACCCCTTAAAGAAGATGGCATGCTGACAAAATCTTTGTGCACAACTGTCTCACCTCTCTGTAGTCTTACGGTACCAGGTTGAGCACACAGTGAGCTGTGCAGCTTTGGATTGGTCGTTATAATCGTTCCTCCATTCTGCCAAAATGTTCCTCCCATCTCATATCATGTCTTTTCCACACCAGTAATCCTTTTCTTGCTTTTCCTACAATCTATGTGTGTATTCCCATTTTTTGAAATTCATCTGGTCAATTTAGAGTTTTTCATGCAAACTAACAATTGTAGCCTTAAGAGGCTGAAGTTTTGAACATCTCGTGGTGCTAAAAAATCCTTTTTGAAGACCACGCCTTTGTAAACTATAGCTTACAGTCAGCGCCTTCATTGTAGTGTACTTTCTAAAAGGTTTCCCCTCATAAATTTCCAAATATAAGTAAAAAGACTTCTTGCAGGCTCAGTTGAAAGGGTAATAAGGAACTGCCATAACATCTGAATATAAACCATAGCAGATTAGTAGAGGCTGGCTGCTTAGGTCTACGCATTAACTCGTGGGGCTCAGTGCATCACCACTAGCTTAGTACACTTTTGTCTTTCTCCAGGCAGTCAGCACAGGCTAAAACTACTAAACTTCAGGCCCTTAAAGAGCCCAAACCAGGCTAACGCAAACACGTTGCTGTTCCAGACACAGTAATAAAAAAACTACAAAAACTTAAAATGTGCTTTACATCCTATAGCAGCGGTCCCCAATCCTTTTTGCACTACGGACCGTCTTTTGTCTGACAATATTTTCACAGACCTGCCTTTAAGGTGTCACGGATAAATACAACAAAATAAAACCAACCGGTACCAAAAAACCCCAAAGATTTATTGATTTATACATAACACGGGAAAAAACCCAGGGAAATCGAGTTATTGATAAAAATGATTTAAAAAAATTAAAAATGTTATTTTTATCGTTATTAAAAATAACGTTTTTTTAATAAACCGGTGGCCCGAGAGAGGGCCTCCTCTCGTGGCCCGGTACCAAACGTTTTACGGACCAGTACCCGGGGGTTGGGGGCCACTTTTAATTGAAATGAAAGAGAAGAGAGAGCGATGTGATTGGTTTTCTCCAAGTTGTTATTTCTCCCACTTTTTTCTTGGTGAGAGGAACTACATAATTGATGTTTATGGGACAACAATTGCTTTATAATGTCGTAGATCACTGGAAAGGCGGGAGACACTGTTCAGAGATCCTGATTGACTTCCAGGGAAAAGCAAATGCTGTGTCTTTGTCCTAATGTCAAGTTTGTTAACAATGATAATAATAATAATAATGAGCATGAAAAACTTTGTTTACTAAGTAGAAGTTATGGCATGTGATTTTAATGTCCTCTCTTAGATGATATTTATACTACAGTCAAGTGTGTATATACTGTTAAAGTCGATTTTGTAAAGTGAAAATGTTCTCAAGTCTATAATTTGCCGGATAGCCTGACATGCATGGAAATGTATTTCCTTGAGGAAAAGAGATGTTGTCATTATAGCATGCGGAGGGGCTCGTCTGGTAGCTGCTGAGGATCAAAACAGTCTTTTACACGAGTCTGCTGTACAAGTTCAAGCAAGACCCTGCCCTCAGCACCTCACTCTCCCTGTCACACACACACATGCACACACACATGCGCACAAGTTGTTTTTCTCCGGCTGCATCTGCTAGCAACCTTTGTAAAAATAAAAGCGTGGCATTTGATTTACAGGCAAAGGTGTTTTTTGATTGCTTGGAGAAAACTTTCTTGCAGTAGCTCCTTTGTTCCTTTCTTTGGGCCATCGAGGCACTGAGTCATCTCTCTATTATTTGGCTTTTTTACACTGTGCACATATCACCATCAGCCTCTCCACACGTCCTGTCCTCTTTATTTTCACAGCTGTAACACCAGCAATTATCACATCTTTCCATCTCGTTTTTGAATTCAGAACCCACACGTTCTTGAAGCTCACATGAACTAGGATCCTAAAGATGAGGTTAAAAAAGCTGAGGTGCTGCAGGGGATTGTGGTGGTGTGATTGAAAGTTTGACTTTGGGTGTAAAAGCTATTTAACGATGGTCCGTCCAAAAGTCATAAAGCAGAGAAATCAAATGAGACAAATCAAAGATGTGGCTTCAAAACACAGACGAGAGAGAGAGACGAGATTAAATCTAAACGCTTATAGTAAAATATCACATTTCCTCACCTGTGGTTTTTTGATACAGATGTTTTCTTCATCTTGTCATGACATGAATAGCCTGAGATCAGTTCCTGTAATTCAATGCAGTTAAGAAATTACTTAAATGATAGTGATCAGGATGAAAATTAGTTGTCTGCTGGCATGGGGCTGTAACTCTCTTCACTCTTGCTTCCCTCAGCTTTCATTGAGAATGTCCAGACCTCCTGTGCTAATAGCCGAGAGGCGGGCAGGTCCAACGAGAGTTCATCATGGAGGCCACAGCTCACCACCATCACTGTCTCCAAGAAGCGCAACTGGTTGCAGCAGAGCTCACTTGGGAAGAATCAGTGCACTAAGGATGAGCTTCAGGGAATGCTGGGAGCCGACGAGGAGGGCAGCCAGGGTTTCCATCAGCCACTTCCTTCTCCTAGTCCCTCCCCAGACCATCTGAGGCCCTCAAGGGGAGCACCCCCTAGGCCGGTTCGCTTGCAGCTGCCGCAGGTTAGCCTCGAGGTCTCTCTTTTTAAAAAGATGAGCTATAGATCAAGCAAAAGTTGGCCAGTTAGCTTAGCTAAAAACACAGAAACTGGGGAATACAGCTAGCCTGGCTCTATCCGAATTCATTTAAGGCTACAAACAAAGAAATAGTCCCAAAGATAATGTGTCATCATAAACCCACAAATGATATAATAAGAGAATCTGAGAATCTGAAACTGTGTAGCTAGATGCTTCCAAATTTATTCTAAGTTGAGCTAACTAGATAAATAAGCCTAATTTCCCATTAAGTCTTATACTAATGCAGAAATGCAACCAGCAGTTTTCTGGCAAAGTTTAACAAGAAAATGTGTCGTTTTAGGTCAGCGTTAGTCCGGCAAAAGTGTCTCCTCACCCTCATAGCATGGACCCAGCTGAGGAAAACGATGCAGATGACGAAGGGGAAATTTGGTACAATCCCATACCTGAGGAAGATGAGCAAAACAATTCTGATCAACGTTCCCGAGGGCTGACCGCCCCTCCTCGAGCTGAACCCCAGAGGGGGTCCAGCAAAGGGACTGATTTGGTTCATGGTGGCAAGTCCCTAGATGGATCCGGCTGTGGTGGGCCAGAGGTCCTCGTGGAAAGCCTCGGTGGCGGTTCAGGAGATGCAAGTCAGGGGAATGCTGTGCATTCCACAGAGGTACTACATGCGCACAGGCAGATGCTCGCGTGCAAACCTCAGGAGGAGGGGGGGCCTTCCAGCAGCAGACCCACAGGTAAGGCAGAAAAAAAGACACCCACACCTTCCCACATTCTAACTTCACTTCCTGCTTTTCATCAGCTTCTTTACTCACTTGTTCCCTACCAATTTTCTGTGGTTGATGCTTGAAGGGCAATTACACTCTTTGTCGCTTTGCCAGTTTCTCTCGGCAGATTTTTGCAGTTGTGCACACCTTGAGCACTAATCAAAGTTAGTGTTGACAATGTTACCAGTCAACAGATAAACAGACTTTTTTAAGCTCAACATTTTTCCCAGCTCTGTAAAGGCTCTGCTTACAAATAGAAATTCTTATATCATCTATAAGTGCTGGAGTGTGTAATTTTAAAAAAAGGTGCACTAAGAGAGGCAATCTGAAATTCCTCTCAAAATCCTATTTAAGTTCATTTCATACCAACTGGTCAAGATCACAAATAGGTTAAAGTGATTAAATTGAATTTAGCGCTACAACCTTTCATCCAAATTGGCAACTCAAGGTTTTAAAATCTCCAGTTTTCAATTAACATAAGTCAAAAGTTTGTAATAAGGAGCCAGATAAGGAGAGTTTCTTCTTCTTTCTCTTTTGATCGGCGCAGACAGGAGCCACGGCTGTCAAATCTCATCGCTGCACATCAGTGTCCCTCATAAATTAAACTTAGACAGACAGAGGAATTCATTCCTTCTGGCTAATTCATTCCTGAGAGGAAAGAATATCAATTTACTTGTTATTCCAGCTAATACACACACACACACACACACACACACACTGTGAACTTTGTATATTATGGCTCATTGAAACACCTCTCCTACAGAAAACAAATTCAAGACCTAAAGATTTATTTGCAGATATAAATGAATCGTAGCCTTCTGTCTTTTTCACTTGCTGCGCTTTTTATTTACTCGTGTTTTTGAAAGTCATTGACAACTCTGCTCTACAGCGACGACATGATGATGACAGCCAGCACACGGCTCCCTGTCTCTTAATAAGCCCCGGTCTGTTTTTTCTAACTTCCGACTTTTTGTTCTCTGTGATGTGGCAACATGGTAGTTTGAACCAATTGGCACATCTTGAGCTGAGCCTATAATTACAACTTTTAACAACGCTTTTCTGTGGCACGCAACAGCCATTTTTTTCTAGCTGTGTGAGCACAAAGACAGGCTAAATGCTTTGGGTTTGGAAATCTAATGCTTCAGCTTTAGCGTTCTCAGCAACAGTTCCACAGCAGGGGTGAAGGTGTCTTAACAAGCTCAGCAGAAACTTTTCCCTCCACGGCTACGCCAGCTTTTTAAGAGTTAAAGTCATGATCACTGAGACGCTGAGCTCTCGGTGAGGGCTAACAAATGTGCTCTTGACAAGGACACAGGCTTTGATTGGCGTATGATAAACTCCTTCATCCTGGCTCTTGCTGACATCACATGTGGCTCAGCAAAACTCTCTGCCCTGAGAGACTTTCCTTGTAGGATTAGGATTAAATCAGAATGAGGCTCAGTGTACCAGCCCAGGAAAAGCACTAATCATGCTGCACTAATTAAATGTAAGCTTCTTTTTTTGGTGCACCTTTCGTTGTCAGACCCATTGTGCCCTTTTGCAGCACAGAGGAAACTGGATAAGCAGACGAGTGGACATAAGTGGAGGCCGGACTGCATTGTTCAGTAGATTTTTTTCCAATGTTTGGCAACATGCTACTATTCAAAGACCTGTTCCTCATTTACATCCCGTAATGCAGTTTGGGAGCAGTCAGTAGAAGGTGTGCGATACTGTTGGTTTACTCGTTGCCTGAAAACGAGACAAGAGAACAGCAGTGTTGTCCCCCCCCCTCCCGCTCCGGAACTGCCTCCCTCTCTGCTGCCTGTTGACTTTGCAATTGATTCCTGTGGGTTCGTCGACGCCATCCCACACTCCGCCGCAAAAAAAAGAGCAACGTGCTCGAGTACGTGTCATCAGAGAGGAAACACTCACTGGCTACTGGTTGATTATTCATTGTGGATGCAGTGGGACTTTTAGTTTAGCTTCACTGTCTTTCTTCATCTTTAGTTAGAAACCTCCTCTCCCTTCAGAAATTGCTATGTGCATTAGGGCTGCAGAATGACACCGCACTCCTCCTCCACTTTAAACTGGTAGGCAGTGTTGGGGGATGGTGGGCAGCAAAAAGGGCAACAGCTCGCCTTCAATTCACCCACTGTTCCATTCCTCAAAATAAGCCTAGATAATGACAAAACATTGTTTCCTGGGTGAGTGACCTGCTTCATCACTGACCTCAAAACGCTAAGTGCATTAGTCTGTGTTATAGCACACAATTATCACTAAGTATCTGCTGAATCTGGAAGAATATTGATTAACATGTTACTTACTTTGGCATTTTATAGCTTTGAGGGAAACGCATCGGCACTTTTTTCATGTGGTTGCCGTCGATTGCTTGCAGCCGTTCCCCAATTTTGCAGAGTCGGAAGATTGATTGATTACTCTCAAACCCTTCAGGTCAACTTAGCTGAAAGATTGTGAACAGGCAGAAATGTCTAGCTTTAGAAGTGTTGGTAAGCACATTTCTTTTCTGCTGAACGGAGCCAGTTGAAGTTGCTTTTTGTTACCTGTTTTCAGTGTTTATTATAGATTGTGTGTAAATGTTTGGCATCACCGCCATCATGTTGAATATTGGTTTGTGGTCCAGAATTCTGAATCCCAATACTGACCGTTTTGTCTTGCTTATTTCTGGAGTTTACAGAGACTATATTTGGATAAGAGGGTTTACTGTAGCATCAGCTGTTGGTTTTTGAAGAGCGGTTTTGAAGCCTCAGCTTTACCATTGTGACCATTCCCATCACTCCCAGCGTTATTAAAAATGTGGTCTTGGACTCCACATTTTAAAGGGCTTAAACCTCCTCCAACATAGTTATAGCAATTTGTATGTTACTGTGGCTCTTTATAGGTAATAATATGTTTAACTAAACCTCAGCAAAGACACATGTTTGTTGGTAGTAACATCACTATAACCGCCACCATGAGCCATATCTTTTATCACATCTACTGTATTTGTGTTTAAGTTACCACGTAATGGGTTGGTTGGCCACATTTTCTAAATGTGCCTGTGCCACTTACGATATATTCTTTGATCTAGGATTTACAAAGGTTTTAACTACAAAAAAAAAAAAAAATATCAAAGAGTGCTGCCCCAGACTTCTTCAGTCCAGCCTCTCTGTCACTCTCAACTTTTTTCATCTTTTCTGTTTTCTGTTTCCAATTCATTGTGAAAATGAGACCGTACAGACACCACTTTATCTGCCGGTTTAGAAATTTGACAGTCCCTTCATTGATTGAGTGTGAATAGGGGCATCTGTTGAATTAATGAAGCCGTGCAGATGTAGATGACTCTTTGCGACCATGGTTTTCTTCTGTTCGGCTGGCTGGTTCTTTTCCCTCTCACCGGATACACTCCAGACTCCTCGTGTGCTGCCTATTGAGTGACTTTTTGTCCATTTCAATGCTCTATTTGTATGGAGAATAATGATTGATGGACTTTGGGGGTGGTGAGCTTGCTGTGTTCCCAATCTGCTGTTCCCTTTAGCGCCTGTTTGGGGAATCTGACTTGGCCAGCACTCAGAATGGGATCAGAGCTATTTCTGGGGGATGTTTTGGTCACACTGGCAGTTGAGTTTGAGAGTTGGCCCTGGTTGCAAGTTACAGAGAGCTCACGCCTCTGAGCTGAAACTGGGAACCTAATCTACGCTGACGATTGCATGGTTGGGTCTGGAGGAAGTCAACAACTTTGTGAGGGCCGCACTTCAAAACCAGAACAGATTCCTTAGCCGGATGTTAGATGTGAAGTTCAGGTCACATAGTTTTCTCATAGCTCTCTCTTTCTGCTCTGTTCTTCATTTCAGCACCAGAGCAGCTGTGGAAAACTTTTCTGGTCTCTGTTTTTAGGGGAGAAAACATTAGTGAAAGCAGAATTTTTATATACTGTAACTAAATATACATAAATTGGAGGTCATAAGTCACACAAAGGTAGTTCATAAAGCTTTACGACTCTTTTCTAACTTGATTAGGTTTCTTCCAACTACAAAAATTCAAAACTTCAAAGATGTCCATCACAGTTTTCCAGAGCCTATGTAATGTCTTAATCTTGATAGTCTTTTTCCAAGCACAAGTCTAAACCAAAGCTCATATATTATATTAAAAGTAAAAAAATCCTCACAAGGAATAAATTCATTGTATTGCTTCATAATTAATTATCTGACTCCATGAACACAGTGCTGTCTAATAAAATAATTAGGCTCCTTAAACAGGATAGCTAGTTTGAGTGTAGCGTTTGACCTTCTCTCACACTTCAGCTCCTGTTTGTGACCGAATGGGTTGTTTGTGTCAGCAGACGGTGGACGGTAGCTGGTGGCTGTCTTAGGCTTCACCTATGTAAATTTGAGTCACTGTGCTATACCTCTTGACCATCATTTTAATTTTTAAAAACTAGCTGAGTGAAAACCAAGATGTATTATTGGTATAAATTAAGATTAAATCCAGGTACGATTAAAGTCATCTTTTGAACCACTTACATTATAAAGTAAATTATTTTAAAGCATGTAGGACCTGAACTGCATCAAGTAGCAACTCGCATAACCAATACTGTTAGCAAAATTTAGCGCTTCTTTGTTATTTCAACATTTGTACTGGTGGATATTTGAGTGATATGAAATACAATACTTACTTTTTAAAAGAGAATTCCTAGACCACTTTGCTTGAACCATTGCTATTTTTTTTTAAACATAAAAAAAACCCAACAGTTACCAATCTTGGGATCAAGCGGACCATGAAAGATCCACCCAGTGCATCCACCTGGGAAAATAAGGGCCTATTTGTTGGCCACATTCAAAGGAACCTTTAAATTTGGACAGGCTTCATTGCCTTGCTATGCTGTAAGCAGCTTCCAGATGTGAAGGATGTAGCGTCTGAATCGGGATGCACAGTGTATGACTCAACTATACAGGCTATGCTAACCAAGCTTGCTAGAAGAGGTGGGAGATATA